CACTCAATACTTGGTCGGGAATCCTTTTGCATGAATGACTGCTTCAATGCGGCGTGGCAATCAGCCTGTGGCACTGCTGAGGTGTTGTGGAGGCCCAGGATGCTTCGATAGCAGCCTTAAGCTCATCCAGAGTGTTGGGTCGTGCGCTCTCAACTTTTCTCTTCACAATATCCCACAGGTTCTCTATGGGGTTCAGGTCAGGAGAGTTGGCAGGCCAATTGAGCACAGTAATACCATGGTCAGTAAACCATTTACCAGTGGTTTTGGCACTGTGAGCAGGTGCCAGGTCGTGCTGAAAAATGAAATCTTCATCTCCATAAAGCTTTTCAGCAGATGGAAGCATGACGTGCTCCAAAATCTCCTGATAGCTGGCTGCATTGACCCTGCCCTTGATAAAACAGTGGACCAACACCAGCAGCTGACATGGCACCCCAGACCATCACTGACTGTGGGTGCTTCACACTGGACTTCTGGCATTTTGGCATTTCCTTCTCCCCAGTCTTCCTCCAGACTCTGGCACCTTGATTTCCGAATGACATGCAAAATTTGCTTTCATCCGAAAAAAGTACTTTGGACCACTGAGCAACAGTCCAGTGCTGCTTCTCTGTAGCCCAGGTCAGGCACTTCTGCCGCTGTTTCTGGTTCAAAAGTGGCTTGATCTGGGGAATGCGGCACCTGTAGCCCATTTCCTGCACACGCCTGTGCACGGTGGCTCTGGATATTTCTACTCCAGACTCAGTCCACTGCTTCTGCAGGTCCCCCAAGGTCTGGAATCGGCCTTTCTCCACAATCCTCCTCAGGGTCCGGTCACCTCTTCTCGTTGTGCAGCGTTTTCTGCCACACTTTTCCCTTCCCACAGACTTCCCACTGAGGTGCCTTGATCCAGCACTCTGGGAACAGCCTATTCATTCAGCAATTTCTTTCTGTGTCTTGCCCTCTTGCTTGAGGGTGTCAATGATGGCCTTCTGGACAGCAGTCAAGTCGGCAGTCTTACCCATGATTGCGGTTTTGAGTAATGAACAAGGCTGAGCGTTTTTAAAAGCCTCAGAAATTTTTTGCAGGTGTTTAGAGTTACGTCGTTGATTCAGATGGTTAGGTTAATAGCTTGTTTAGAGAACCTTTTCATGATATGCTGATCTTTTGGGACAGGCATTTTGGGTTTTCATGAGCTGTATGCCATAATCATCAGTATTAAAACAATTAAAGACCTGAAATATTTCAGTTGGTGTGCAATGAATCTGAAATATATGAAAGTTTCATTTTTATCGTTACATTATGGAAAATAATGACCTTTATCACAATATGCTAATTTTTTGAGAAGGACCTGTATTAACTTTATTAACTTGTGCATAATAAATAAAATCTAAATTTATCTTATTAAATTATTAATAATTTAATAAAATTTAATATATTATGTTTAAATTATCTTAAATTTAGAATATAGCATAACATTTCCCAATATTTTATAAGATCCGTTGGTACATAAAGTGGCTGTAAAATGTTAAAAAACAGGGTCTTTCATTTTTTTTATTCCATTTAATAAAATAGTGTTTTTACTGAGCATGAGAATATTTACATTAAGCCTCATAATTGTGATAATGCTTTGATAGCTTATAAAAAATAAAATCTTAACCTAAGAATGTTTTTGTTGTTTTCTACATTTCATTAACCAGACCAGACCCTTGTACTGCGGGATTAACCTGAGTGTCCCAGTCCTGGACCGTTAAGCCCCGAGTATACTGCCGCGTACATCCATACGCAGAGGTATGCACGTACGTACGCAGAGGTACGTGCGTACCCCCTAGTGTACCCTCCGTGCAAAGCTCAAATTTTCACGACCGCATACGCGTACGCAGTGTCGCACAGTAAACTGCCCAGCGACGGATCCCTGATCTGACCTTTTCTTTTGTTTTTTTGCCAAGAGGCAGTGATCTCTTCCTCCTCTGTTGATGCTATGACTGAAATGGTGAGAAATGGAGGAATTTGTCATGAGCAAATTAAACTCGGGTCCAGCGTGGCTGCGGGAGGGTCTGGAGATTTCCTGGTGGGCAGGTCTGATGTGTGGGCTGTAGAGCCAGCGCTCTGATTTTTTTTTTTTCTAGATTCTATTTTAGATCTTTTTATTAACAACATATAAACACAGAACACCGCTGCGGCGGAGGCTGCCAGCGCACGCTTTTTTTCGTTTTTCCGACCTGTCAATCAATCCAGTAGGCGTGTCAGCAAATGACCAATCGGCGACCTCAATTTGTCCCAAAGGTAAACGCCCCTTGTCTGTGAAGCTGCTCTGCAGCTGCTCGGGGTGTACGCTGGAGTATGAAATCTGAACCCTCTGCGTACAGTACACGCGTACTTGCGCATGAACAGACGTACGCGGCAGTATACTGGAGCCTTTACTTTAACCAACAAGATCCTAGACCAGATTTCCAATGAAGCAGGGAGTCTCTGGCTGTGTTGCTTCATCTCCTGGACCTGGATCCACGACATGGTTGGGGGGCCACAATTGAGACCCTGGTGTTTCTTTTCTGGCTGGCAGGTGTCGCATCCTGCAGGGTGGTCTCAGGAGTGTTTGCGATGCCTCGTTCTACTGTCCACTGCATTGTCCATCACATGACAGAAGTGGCCATTCACCACCAGGTCATCCACCTGCCTAAAAACCCAGAGGACATGGAGGTGGTGTTCCGTGGGTTTGCAAGGCTGGCATGCCACAAAGCAATTTGTTTTTAATGAACTTACTCTTAATAAAAATAATTATTAACAATAGTAGTTTTTGTAATCACTTTATTTTTCAAATTTAAAACAAAAAACACCTTTTTCAAGAACATAAAAAAACATCAATTAATTTATTTGCAATTCTTTTCTCCATTCTCTCCCTACTTACATTTGCTCTTCTCTCTTCGGCTTGATATCTTCTGATTAATTGAAATAAATCATACTCTCTGTCCTGCTGCCTCTTTCTTCCCTGTCTCCCTTCTTCTTTGTTCCTCAACCCCATCTTGCTGGTCACCCACTGCTGTGCTTGGACCTGGAGTGTCCTCAGTGATGGAATAGTTAGGACAGGAGGTGCAGTGGAAGGTCTCTGTCCTAAAACCTCGTCCATGAGGACAAACTAGGACCAAGTCGCAGCAGCAGCTTCCCACAAACTCCTTCCCCTGACCCGCCTGGATTTTTGCAGTCCTGAACAAAGAAAATAAGATATCACAGCAGGCAAACAGAGCAACAAACATTTTTTTTAAACTTTACATGTATTAATAGCTGCACATACAAATTATATTCTTCATTACACATGCACTTTGTATTTATTTTTTAGGTTGTCCCATTTCTTTTTAGCCTGCAGAATAGTTACTTCCCCTGCAGGCCCATCTTCTCCAAAATTTTCCTAATAACATCAACATAAAATGAATGAAGAGGAGAAACATGGAAAATAGTATCTTAAATGCACACAGAAAAACTACAGTTTTCACAACACAAGAGGACCTATACTTCATTAAAATCACAGGTTACAGTATGAGGGTTAATGAAACTGCACTCAGAAGCATAAGATGAATAAATTGATTAATTCTTGTACCTTCATGCCACAGCTGCAGTGCTTTGCACTCGTGGAAATGTGGCTGTTCTCATTTTAATAAAAGCTTTGGCCTGCTCATTGCTCCCTAAAATAAAAATTAAAATTAAAAAAGAAGAATTAGCTTAGCGGCGAAAGTACTACAGGACCCGCTGTACGAGATGATCTCCGACAAAATAATACAAATAAATGTTTACGCAATTGACAAAAACCTATCATCCACTTTAAAACATAACCGCTTAGGCTTTTTTTTTTTTTTATCCCAGATTTTAACATACTTGCATATAAAAGTGTACCCAGTCGCTGCTTCGTCCGCCATTACGTCCAGAATTTTACATATGCCTGCAATGCATCTTGGGATAGGGTGGACCGCAAAGGATAAACCGGACCTGGCCTTCAAATCGGGGGGAAAGAAGGCCGCATTCGTGGGCTGTATTGAAGGAGTCTTCGAATTGGGACAGGCCTCGGAGCGTCGTTGTAACGTAAGCAGCCTTCAAATTCGGCCTTCGAAGGATGCAGCCGCTGGATTGGGATACAGCTTGACTTTTGGAGCATTTTGGATCAAGATGGCTGCCACAGCTACCTCAGAAAACTGAAAATTGACTATAACTCAGTCATTCTTTGAGATATTTTTTTTTTTACCAAAATATTTTTATTGAGATTTTCCACTTTGGAAATACCTATGTAACTATCTGAACAAGTTTTCTTTGTAGTCATTACATGACAGTAATTATTCTTTCTCATATCAGAGAAATGAAAAACAAAGAAGGAAGGAAAAAAAAGACAGACATAGGAACAAAAAATAGCTTCTAAAAAAAACAGGGGTATTCAAGCAAATTACAACCAGATTAGAAATAAATGTACACGTCTATTCAACAAGGCACACTGCAGATTCCAGCAAATCAAAACTCAAACAAGCCCTCTGACAAGTCTAAGTCCTTAATAAAATTAATGAAACGACCCCAAATCCTCTCAAAAAGATACTGTTTGGATTTCCTAATATATGTTATTCTTTCTAACGGCAAATTGGATGACATCTGCTGTAACCACTGCGTGGCACTAGGTCTGCTGACATTTTTCCAAGTCAAAGCAATACATTTTTTTGCAGATAATGAGCTTATGTCTATAAAAGTACATTCTGAATTACTAAAGTTATGCTTCTCAGGGTATAAAGCTAACAGGAACAATTTAGGATCAAGTGAGATTTGCTTTGAGATAATTTTTTCAATTATATCTTTCACCTCTGCCCAAAACGCATCGATTTGTCTGCATTCCCACATGCAGTGTATTAAAGTCCCTTTAGAATTACACTTTACGCAAATATCTGGGATATTATTGTTGTATTTATTTAAATGCACAGGCGTAACATAAACACGCATTAGCCATTTAAATTGTAAAATTCTGAGATGGCTATTTATGGACATTGTGTGGGTTTTAATGCAAGCCCTTTCCTAATCCTGTTCACTGATATTTGATGAAAGGTCCATATTCCAGTTTATAAGCTTTTTATTTGAGTTCTCTAACGAGTTAGAGATCAGCACATTATAAAAGTCTGAAATAATGCCCTTTCTTAATTTATTCCGAATCATTAATTTTTCAAGCAATGTAAGGGGAGGCTTGTTAAGATTACTGTAATTTGCTTTGACAAAACTTCTCAATTGAAGACATTTAAAATAATGCTTTTTTTCTAGCTTGAACTTGGTTTGTAATTCTCCAAATGACAAAAATATATCTGAATTTGATGGGTAAAGGTCACCAATACTTTTTAAGCCTTGCAATGCCCAAAGCTTCAATTCCATCTGCCCTACCTGGAGCAAACAGCTGATTGCCCCATATTGGGCTAAATTGGGACATGCTGTTTGGCTCCGTGAGGTATTTTCTAACATCCTGCCAGATTCTAATCATATTTTTCAGAATAGGATTTGTAGTATATTTCTGTAACTTCTTTGGAGTGTTGGAGTATATGAATAAAGGAAGAGCTAAACTTAAGTTATGGGACTCCATTTCTACCCAGTGAGGATTATCATTATCTGCAAAATAGAACACGATAGTCCTTAATTATGTTGTCCAATAGTAAAACTTAAAATTGGGGCACTTTAACCCCCCTCTATCAAATGGTAAATAAAGCAAAGAGAGGCATAGCCTAGATCTTCCGTTGTTCCACATATAGCCCAAAATGTTTTTTTTTTTTTTTTGCCAAATGAATAATTCAGGAGGAGGCGGCAGGGCAATGCTTTGAAAGAGGTATAATAGCTTTGGTAGTATACTCATTTTCAGGACATTAACTCTTCCCAATATGGATATAGGCAGGGATGTCCAGTTGACAATTGAGGCAGCTATTGTTCTCATTAGGTGTTCGTAATTAGATTTGACAACCTGTTGTAGTTCCGGGAAGATCTGAACACCCAGATATTCAAAATGTTTCACTACTTTGAATTGCATAACCTCACTGATAGGATTAGTCCTTTCACCTCCATTTAACACTAGAATAGAAGATTTTATATTATTCACTTTATAACCTGAGACTCTCCCAAATTCCTGGATCACTTCCATCACCGCTGGAATTGACTTTTTCAAGTCTGTTAGAAATAAAATGACATTGTCTGCGAATAGGGAGATTTTGTGTTCTGTAGGGCCCACCATGATCTCGGGGATCTGCGGATGTAGGCGAATAGCTGATGCCAATGGCTCAATTGCCAGTGTAAATAGAAAGGGAGAGAGAGGGCATCCCTGGCGACATCCTTTCCTGGTTTGAATCGCCCTTGAAAATATTTTGTTTGACACCATTTCTGCAGTTGGATTATTATATAATATTTTAACCCATTTAATAAAGTTACTTCCACAACTGAACCTTTCCAATATACTAAAAAGATAGGGCCATTCAACCCTATCAAAAGCCTTTTCGGCACCCAATGAGAGAAGAGCTGTATCATTAGCATTCTTTTTGAGCCAAATAATATTCAGCACCCTTCTAATATTGTGATATCCTTGCCTCCCAACTATAAACCCATTTTGATCCTTATTTATTATGCCTGGTAGAATTATTTGCAACATTTTTGTCAATAGGTTACAGATGATTTTGAGATCAGAGTTAAGTAGACTGATAGGTCTCAGGTTTTCACACTTATTAGGAGGTTTACCTGGTTTTGGCAGCAGAATAATTAGAGTCTGATTCAAAGAGGGAGGCAGGATGCCTTTTTTAAATGACTCCATAAACATATCAAGAAGGGTTGACAGCAATTTATCCTTAATTTTTTTATAAAGTTCAATGGGGAACCATCAGGTCCTGCTTGCTTACCAGATCTCATTCCATCAATGGCCTGTGCTAATTCCTCTTTATTTATTTCTATATGTAAGTCTACTCTACAATCATCTGCAATGACAGGGATATGTAGCCCATTCAAAAACGTATCTAATTCCATTTGATCTAAATTTCCTTGAGTATTGTATAATTTCTGATAATAATCTTTAAAAGTATTATTAATATCCTTTGGATCTATTAGTGTTTTGTCCTGTGTTACAATTTATGTGATCGAGGTTGTTGCTTCAAGCTGTTTGATTTGCCAAGCTAGGAGTTTTCCAGCTTTGTCCCCCTGTTCGTAAAAGTTTTGTTTTAATCTTAAGAGACTGGATGCAGCTCTGAAACTGGACTGTTTATCATATTCTGCTCTTAGGAGCAACAGTTGTTTTTTCAGCTCAGTATCATTTGTTTGAAAAACCCTCTCCTGAATGTCCTTTATTTTATTTTCTAGATGCTGCCTTTTAATCTTGGCTTCCTTGGACTTATTGCCTGTAAAGCTAATAATTTGTCCTCTAATACTGTATATGCTTTAAAGGCATCCCATCTGGTGCATGCAGTTGTTTGATTTGTGTTCAACTGAAAGAACTCATCAATTTGTAGCACAATATATTTAAAAAAAATCCTCATCCTGCAGCCATTTATGCTGAAAACGCCATCTAGGGGGGGGGGGGGGGGGCCCTGGTGAGATTCTCATTGCAGTACGTAAGACAGCACGGAGCGTGGTCTGAGATCACTATGCTATCATACATACAGTTTTGAATTTTGGATATTTGTTCTGATGAAATTAAAAAATAATCTATTCGCGAAAAGTTCGTTTTGCACTCGTGAAAATGTGGCTGTTCTCATTTTAATAAAAGCTTTGGTCTGCTCCTTGCTCCCTAAAATTAAAATTAAAAAATAAGAATTAGCTTAGCGGCGAAAGTACTACAGGACCCACTGTACGAGATGATCTCCGACAAAATAATATAAAAAAATGTCTACGCAATTGACAAAAACCTATCATCCACTTTAAAACATAACCGCATAGGCTTTTTTTTTTTTTTATCCCAGATTTTAACATACTTGCATATAAAAGTGTACCCCGTTGCTGCTTTGTCCGCCATTACGTCCAAAATTTTACATATGCCCGCAATGCATCTTGGGATAGGGTGGACAGCAAAGGATACACCAAACCTGGCCTTCAAATCGGGGGGAAAGAAGGCCGCATTCGTGGCCTGCATTGAAGGAGTCTTCGAATTGGGACAGGCCTCGGAACGTCGTCGTGACGTATGCGGCCTTCAAATTCGGCCTTCGAAGGATGCAGCCGCTGGACTGGGATACAGCTCGACTTTTGGAGCCATTTTGGATAAAAATGGCTGCCACAGCTACCTCAGAAAACTGAAAATTGACTATAACTCAGTCATTCTTTGAGATACTGAGCTGAAATTCGGTTTTGTCGTAGCTGAAAGCGAGTTGTTATACATTCTTAATGCAAATTAAAAATCAAATATGGCCGCCTGGCGAAAAAGAAAAACACACTTAAAATCAGCCATTTTTAGATATATTACATTGAAATTTGATGCGGTGGTTGCTGAGAGCAATGCTCAACACATAGAACTGTCAAATCAAAATTTTAAATGGCCGCCACGTGTTAGTCCCTGTCAAAGTTTCTCCAGGAACTTTCTAGTTATTAGTTGTCATCCTCGGTTGTCTTCATTTAGTCCACATTTTCTCAAATAGACCGTTGGTGTGATCTGACACTGCTGACCTTTGACCTTGAAGTTCACCTCTTAATTTCTATGAAAATTGTTCTGAACTTTTTGGTTAGCATTCACTATCTGTCTCTTCAGTTTGTCATCAGTTGTCCTCTTGTGGACACGTCCATGTTGGTTGTCTCCAGTCCTGTGGACCTTCTGAATAATCTGAGCAGCTGCAGTCAGGAACATCAAGCTGATGGAAAAAGTCTGATAAGTCTTTACCTTCAACATGATGTCAATCTGTCCTCAGCTTCCTGTGCTCCATGTTCAGTGTGTTACACACCATGATACCAAACAGTGACCCTGTGACTACCTGCACCCTTTAAACTGGCAGACCTGTATTTGTGAATTTGTTTACCTTAATGACTCTGTCCTGACAGCGCTGGATGGTCTTACAGAGATCCTCAGTGCCCTGAGACTCCAGACTCTGGTGAAGGATCTGCTCAAATGTATACACAGCATCATCCATTTGCTGCCAGCACACACAAAGAGAGAAAGAAAAACATTTCATTATGGGGATGTTACTGTCCTGCCCTGGATTATACCAAGATTAGTGAGCATGAACTTTAGTGTTTTGAACCACTTTGACATGACTGTCTCGGAGGAGTTGACAAGGGAGAGGGTAGGCCCCAGATGCCATCTTAGCACCAGTAACTGTTCTTTTCCCCAACTATGGAGTATGCCGTTTGTGGGAATCAGTTTTGTTTGTGGATTCTCAGATTGAGGACGTCCTTTGGATGAAGGATGAAACGTCTCGGCAAGAAAATAAACCGTCCAGAGGCCCTGACTGAACATTATTGGATTTTTACCTGGATTGTTTAGCATGAACTTTGGTGTTACTGTCCTGTGTTTTCAGGAGGGCAGCACAGTGACTCAGTGGGTAGAGCTGTTGACTGTCAGAGAGAAGGTTGCCAGATAGAATCCCAGCCGAGACCTTTCGGCGTGGAGTTTGCATGTTCTCTCTGTGCTGTGTGGGTTTTCTTCGGGTACTCCAGTTTCCTCCCCACAGACCAAAAACATGCATGTTAGACTGATTGGTAACTCCAAATTGTCCCTAGGTGAGTGAGAGTGTGAACGGTTGTTTTTCTCTATGTGTCCCTGTGATGGGCTGGAGACCTGTCCAGGGTGTCTCCTGCCTCTCACACAGTGATTGCTGGATATGGACACCAGTGACCCCATGACCCAAAATGGAGGAAGCGAGTAAACGATAATGGATGGATGGATGGATGGATGACCTTTGTGACCCAAAAAGGAAGAAGCAGGTAAAAGACAATGGATGGATGGAGGTAGAATGGGAGGCAGATCTTTCAGATATCGGGCTCCTCTCTTGTAGAACCAACTTCCAGTTTCTGTCTGAGAGGCTGACAAATTGTCCAGTTTAAGATTAGGCTTAAGTCTTACATTTGTAGAGGATATCTGTGATATGTTATCCATAAATTAAACAGATTCATTCATTTTTCTGGACTGAATAATATCGTGCATTGAATAAATAAATGTGACGTGAGACGTTAATTTTCTTTGACCCATCAAATGAATGCGGAACAGAATCAAAGTTTAACATCAAACATTTACATTAATTTGGCAAATTGATTTCAACAACAACATAATTAATTAGCAAGCTTTGCAATTAGGAAACCATACGGCCATGATTTCCCTTGCAACTTTAACCCAACAGACATTTCTGAAAATATCTGGATGATTACTGGCAAGATAGAAGAGTTTTAAAGATGGAAAATGAAGTTTATCTTGAGAGAGATGGTTGAGGGAATTTGTCTGTTATAACCAGAACAACACGCTCCATTGGACCCAGCTTAACCAACGGTACACTTTGTGGTTGAAGATCGACTCTTTTACCTTTGCAGACGATAGTTCGGCCTCGGCGTAGAGTTCTCTTCAAACGCTTTCCAGCGTCTCCGTAAGGATAGTAGGGAACCGTTCGGAGTCGTGAGATCATCCCAGAACAGACTTCTTCATAGTTCCTCTGAACTTCTCTCGTTCAGCTCAGTTGCTGTTGTTCTCCAGCATTCTGAACTCTGCATTCTCTCTCCGCACCCTCTCCGCACTCCACTGCACTCTACTGCACTCTCCTGGAACTAGGAAGTGTTGAACCTTTTAAAGAGGTCACTTCCGGTTCCTCTGAGAGCTTCCTGATTGGTCGATTGACCGAACAGGGGTGTGTTTTAGTGAT